CTGATTTCATTCTGGGAATGTTAAATTTGCAAAATCCACATTAATTTCCATAACTTTTCCCCATTCAACTGGTTTTGTTTCTCCATATGGACAAGCAAGTTTAGATTTTCCAGAAAATCCATAATTGATAACACCACCTTCTTTTGATTCACCAGTGAATGTGAGAGTTGGTCTTTCAGCAGCAGTGAAATCACATGTTAAAGAAATAGACAATGCTCTTGTAACTCCATCAGTAGCAGGAATACCAGCATGGAAGACCTTTACACCAGCACTTTCATCTGCAGGATTGAGCAATGAAAGTTTAGGAGTACCTTTCTTACCGATAGGATAGCAGAGATTGTATTGTTTAGCATATAGATATCCTTGAGCGTCAACAGTACAAACAGCATTGCTTGGATTGGTAACTCCTCCACAAATATTGCTAAAATTCCAACTAATTAGTTTCCGATAATAATAAACAAAATACATACAAATAAAAGTTGAAATTAGCATCGGTTGCTGCAACTTTATATCCTGAACCAGGAATATCAATATTAGAAAGGTCGATAATTCCTCTATAAGCAATTGGTAATGAACAAGTCGGTGCGGAGAATACAACATGCACACAACAAGCAAGCAGCAATGTGAGCAACACAAAGGTCAATCGTAACATTTTTTTTAGTCACTTCCAAAACCAATCAATCATCATGGGTATTAATTTTACCAAAAATTCCGATTATACAAATTAATATTATATATTACAACACAAGAGATTAAATCATTTTGACTATTTTATCTAAAACCATTAATTTGTGTATTCATCATCATCATGCTGTTGTGATATTTTTTTTTCAACTTTTTTTGAAGTTGGACCATAGAGTTTACAACAACTGATAAAGAATCAATTTGTTTGTAAAATAATAATGGGAACATTTTGATAGGATTCACTGAATCAACCTTAATGGATTATTCCTTGGGGATTAGTTGAGCGTATATTGATCATCAATACTTTAGATTGTCAGTAATATGAATGAGAAACACTCATGAGGTGTGAAATCATTCTGGCAACAATTTTTATTTTCCAATATTTCCTCTTTTCCTTTTAAACAAAATATAACAATGAAAAAATCAATGCAATGATCAACAATGAGCCACCAACACAACGATTAGAATCATTTCTAAATGCATGTTCAGTTATAGTGACTTTGAATCCACCTTTTGAAGATACCAAATAGTATTGAGTTGCTTCACCAGAGTAGATTGTTTCTTTTTGTGTTAAATTCAAATGATAATCATAATTGAAAAATTGATTTCTTTCAATATTCCAAGTGATTGGTTTCTTTCCAATATAAACATCTTGAATTGTTGCTGTATTTTCAATTCTGATTTCAAAATATGTTTGAGGTTGAGTGGTGAAAGTTGCTGTGAATGGTGCAGAATTATCACTTTGAATTGAGTATGTTTGTCCAATTTCAAATTTAGTATAATTAAAACTAATCTTTTTAGCATAAAACAAATTATATACAGCACTGGGTGGAGAAATAGTGAATGAATAATCTGGATTTCTATTGGAGATGACTTGTTGTGTAAGATTTGATTGAACAATGGCTACCATTTCTTGATTCGAATTTGAAAATTGCCACACTGATTGAACTGCCTCATTAGAGTTCAATTCTTGAGCTATCAAAGAAATGCAACCATAATTTTGATAGAAATGATCTTCTTTCACACTTTCAATTGAATTCCATTCATTTACCAAACAATTCCCAATATAGAATAAAACATTTCTTTGCTGAATAGGATTCAGTTTCAATACCAAATTTGGTTGTCCATAAACTGATTTCAATTCTGGAAATGTCAAATTTGCAAAATCCACATTAATTTCCATAACTCTTCCCCATTCAACTGTTTTTTTTGCATATGGGCAGGCAAGTTTAGATTTTCCAGAAAAACCATAATTGATAACACCACCTTCTCTTGATTCACCACTGAATGTGAGAGTTGGTCTTTCAGGAGCAGTTAAATCACATGTTAATGAAATAGACAATGCTCTTGAAACTCCATCAGTGGCAGGAATACCAGCATGGACGACCTTTACAACTAATCCATCACTAGTCGAATTCAAACTAATTTGGGGAACCCCTTTAACACCTATTGGAAAGCAGAGATTGTATTGTTTGGAATATTGATATCCTTGAGCGTCAACAGTACAAACAGCAGTGCTTGGATTGGTGATACTTCCACAAATATTGCTAAATTAGTTTACATTAGTTTTCGAATAATCCACAAATATATGATTATTATAAAATGGGTTAAAAAATTAATATACATACAAATAAAAGTTCCAATTAGCATCGGTTCCTGCAACCGTATATCCTGAGCCAGGAATATCAATATTCGAAAGCTCTATAATTCCAACATCACCAATTTTTAATGAACAAGATGATGCAGAGAACACAACATTCACACAACAAGTCAACAGCAGTAGCAGGAGTGTGAGAAACCGAAAGGTCAATCGAAACATTTTTTTCTGTCAGGCAGGTGTTTAGTCAATCGATGATGTTGATGTGAAAATGTTGATGTTGAGTCTCATATCGGATAATTTCGATTTCAATTCATACTAATCCAAATTAAACTACCAAATTAAACTACAAGTAATTGGGTTCGTGCTTATACTGATAATAGACTTTCATCATTCTAAAAACCTATTAGAATCATTATTTTAAATTTATTAATATTGTTCATCAATGAAATACTGTTGTATTAATGAAATCCTTTTATGGATAAATCACTTTTAAGGCAATTGAGAATCTTAGCCATATCCTACTAACCTTTTAAATATGATACAATTTGTTTATTACCATTTTGAACAGGTGTACAAAAATGAACTGAATAAAGTTGCTGTGGTTGAGAGAGCAATTTCTTTTGAACTGTTTTTTAACTAAGTTTTTATTCATCTCAATCATCAATTTGGAAAGATTGCAAAGGATGCAATCGTGTAATTTTTGATATATCCATATGAACTTGTTGACAATAATCTATTTAATACTGAGGTTAGGGACTATCAGAGTTTCGTTTACTTTTAAATTTGAAGAGTTTTTTGAAAAATTTGCAACCTAACAACTCGTTCTTACTCATTTTAACATCTTTTTGAGAATATTGGAATTCTTAGGGGTATGTCTATGCGTAGATTCATAATTTGAAGTCAGATTTCCAATCACACCTTAGTTCCACTGAGAAATCGTATTTTGTTGAATACAATATTATTGGAAAATAAAAATTTATTTAAACTCTATTTGAAGAGAATCTGTAATATGTCAAAATTGAAGTAAACGTTCTGTAATAATATTCCACTTCACAGATTTTTTACAGATTGTATCAGGTTTCGAATAGTTTTGCATTTTTTTTATTGATTGATTTTTGTTTTTGATGACTTCCATTTTGGAAACTTGAATCCAGCTTAGTGTATCCTTCAATGTTTGCCTTGTTTCTCCTACAGAGCTTAAGGTTGACCTAATAATCCATCTGAATCCAAACTAAACCTTTCGTATGGTTCACGCGCAACACAACAAGAGATTCATTCTTTCTCTTGCAAACGTTCACAGAACAAAAAAAGGCCAACGACCAGATCACTAGGAAGTATCAGTTCCCCATCAACAGACTCTTCATACTCTTGTCATTCGTTCACTTTCCAAGATAACAAACGAAACAAACCGAAACTAAAAGAAAAATGGCAACGCTGGCACCTTCATCAACCACAAACTCTACCTCCTCTACAACAACCCCAGTTCTGGATGATAAGAAAATTCTTTCCTTCTTTCTTTCTTGTGATAAATTAAAGCAAAATCACAAATTTCCCAAAATGGAAAAAATGTGCAGAGAATTTGTTGTGAAAAATTCAAATTCTGTTGAAATTAGATATATAGCCACTGTTCGATTGTATCTTGCACTGGCTCTTCGGGAATTGTTATATTTCAACGATTCTGTTCATCATTTCAAATTGGCAATTTCTGAATGTCCATCTATGGGAAGAGATCCAATAATTTTGACAGATTTTGGACATTCATTGTTTTCTGCAGGACTTTATGAGGAAGCTCAGGCAAAATTTGATTTGGCACTTGAGATTTATTGTGGAGAATCGAATGAGAAAGATGTGGCTGCTGATTCTTTGGATTGGTCACAAGATTCAATTCTGTCCAAGTTGACCAGAAATGCATTGGATATGGAGGAATTGAAAAGTGGATTGGCAATGTGTCAATTAATGATTCTCGATCCAAAAACTCCAGAATATAAGGATATTCTATTTATTTTGAAACCTAACAATCAATATTCAATTACTCACTCGCTCACTTTCTATGCAATTGGACTTTATTATGAAATGATTAAAGATTACAATAAGGCAATTGATCATTACAATGGAGCTTTGAAGAAGGATCAACAGTTTGAGGCAGCACTTGAGAGAATGGCTGTTTGTCAAATGAATTTGGGTCAATTTGATAAAGCCAAATCGAGTTATGATCTCACATTGCAAATGAATAAGCAAAATTATAGAGCTCTGTACCAATTGGCTAAACTTCATATTAGAGCTGGAATGCCACAATTGTCAAAGAGCAAATTGAGAAGTATTTTGACTCTTGATAAACAGGTGGAAAAGATTGAATCGAGTGAGGACAGGTTGAAATTGATTTCATGTTTGGCAGAATCATATTTCCTTCTTGGAGTGTTGGAACATTCAAGTCATTCAGAAACTAAAAAGGTCATTCATGAGCTATTCCAAAATGCCATCAAATATTTTACCATTTACAGAAATATGACAGTATCTGATCATCAGCAGAGAGAGGAGGAATATCATAATACCATTGGATTATGTCAATATTATTGCGAGAAGTATGAAGAATCTCTGGACTGTTTCACACAATCCATCGCTTCAAATCCACAATCAGCTAACGGTTTTTACAACAAGGGAATGTTATTCGAAACTTTGAGAGATTACAAACAATCCCTGCAACAATACAAACATGCACTTCAACTTTCCCCTCACGACAGTGATTGTGCATGTTCTGTTAAAAGAATAGATAGACTTTTGAAGAAGAATGCATTCCTCCATCACGACCTTTTGTAAACTAATTAAAATGCTTTTTTGAATTCACAAATCCTTAACCATACCATTTCTGATGATAACCAAGGTTTGCTTTGCTTATGGATAAATTCCTAAATGCTAGTTCCTTCAAAGCACTTTGCAACGTGGAAGGATTCGTAATTTGTTTTACTCTGATTTCCTTCATTTAGCATCTTTTACAAATAGAATAAGGATAATAGGATCCTTTCAAATTGAAGTTGAGTTGTTTGTTAAGCAGTAAGAGAGGAAAGAGAGGAAATTAGGGCCTTTCACAACAACCCAAACACTTCTCAAAGACTGGAAATGGAAGTCGAGTTGGTGGTGAATCGCAACAAGACGAAACAAACTGAGAGATTAATTCCACAACACAAATCATAAAAAAAACCATCAAACCATGTTAGTGAACCGCAATGTTTGTTGCATTATCATGATAACGTTGTTGCTGTTGTTGTTGGTTGCAAACGTTACTTTAGCAGAGCAACAAGATATTTCGCCATCCACCACAAAACGAACATCGGTTAGTGTTGGTTTCACAAAAGCTCTAGATGTTGGAATGGCTCAAGTTGCAACAAGTGACAAATGGCAACAAATATTCGAATCATTGGGTATGTTGTTTGATATATCTCAGTACTAACAAGAGTAATATTTCATTGCTTGTCAATGTTATTGTCGATCGAATAGGCATTCCATTTAATGTACCAAAATGTTCTTCAAAATTTGGATCGTCATTCCCTTCCAATCCATTTCCTTCATCTAAAACCCAATTGAATATTTGTTATGAAGAACCTGCTCAAGTTTGGGCTTCCATTTTCAAAGGTGCTGGTGATTTATTAGTGGAAGTGCTCAACAAACAATACAGCATCAATTTGAAAGCCAATCATTTAATTTTGAATACTACAGAGCTTGGATACTTTGATAGTATGAAGGCTGGTGTGGATTCTGGATTGTGTGACATTTGTACCTCCAATGTAAGTTTTTTCTCGGATGTTGTTGTTAAATGATGATATACTAATGAAATCTTGTTGTTGTTGTAATTGAATAGATAATTAAAACACAAACAAGAGCCGAACAAGTCAACATGAATTGTCCATATGGTAGCTCTAGTTTAGCATTCCTTCGTTCCGAACTTGATCCATCAAGATTTAATACTAGCAAAGAACTCAACAATACTGATGCAATCATTGTTGTTTATGGAGGAACCTATTTTGAAACTGTTGCTAGAACAATGTTTCCTGCTGCCAAACTAATTCTAGAACCTGGTGGTTATGACGCCACTTATGGATATATCAAGGATAAACGTGCCCATGCAACCATTGCTGATGCTGTTGATTTAAGTTATTGGTTGAAAAACAACAAGAACCAGTGTACAAATTGTTATATTAGATTCTTTGGAGATCCATATGAGTACGGAAGCGTTACTACTAAATTGTATGATAGTGAAGGAACGAAGAATGGTTATTCAATGTTAATGCTGTTATTGTTGGTGCTTTTCTGCTTGTTCAATATATAACATATCATGGTTACTAGATTACTAGGCATTAAATAAATTAAATTTGTATTATAATTATTGGTAATTGATGATGCCTTTCCACTTGAAAAATTCCGTACAGGAAATTACATTCCAATTTAATAGAAGTATTAAATCTTGTTGTTAATTCACTATTAATACTATTAGCACTAGGTATAAATGATGTCCTATTACTTCCAAACCATCACGATGTAACAAGAGCTAGCAAATCATCTCGTCCGTGTGCGTAATAAAATCAAAGCAAGTTGCTGAAGAATTTTGATAGATTTTTTATTTTTAAAAATTTTTTTATTGTAAAACTAATCACGAGTTCATCATCAAGAAAGGAAGAAGCAAATGGAAATAATAAATTTATAAAAAAAAATGATCAGAAAGAAGGTTCGTAGAAATCCTGCCTCCGGTGATGGAGCACAATCTCTCGAGGAATTGAATAGGATCAGAAAGGAACAATACTTGAAGAAGAAGGCCATGCTTCAAGATTTGGTCAATGCACAAAAAAAGGACATTCCGATCCAGTATATTATCCTGATCAAACAATATGAAGATGAAACATTTGATGAAATTTATGTAGCCCTTGATCCGATGCTACATATATTTAGTTTTTTAAGTCCACATGATTTATTGCTCAAGGTTGGATTGGTTTGTAAATCTTGGTATTTCCTTTCTTTTAGAACCAATTTCCTTTGGCAATCTTTGTATTATAAAGAATTTGGAGATGTACAAGCAAGACCTATTCATACTGCTCTCCTTGATGAAGATGATGACTCTGAATTTGATGGACATTGGAAGAAGGTGTTCAGTTTTAGAGTGGATTTGAGAAACAAATGGTACAATAATTCACCAGACAGAGTTGGTTATTGTGATATTATGGAGAGTGAAATTGTAAAAAGTACAAGAACTAAATACACCAATAAGGGAGAACTTTTCAGAAAGGATGCACACACAGCTTGTGTTGGAGAGGATGAAATTGGAACAGAGTCAGAAAATAAGAAATTGTACAGAGTTAATCCAGAGGACAGATCGACCATCACTACAATGTGTTTGATTGGATCAGATCGTTTATTGGCAGGTGATGCTAGAGGCGTCATTAAATTGTTCAACTTGCGATCTTTCCAACAAGTGAAAAAGTTTGTTGGAGCTCATCAAACCAGTGTACACAAAATTGTTGCTATCACTCCTGAACACTTGAAATTCAAATCGGATGACATGTCAGTTTTGGGATATTCATTCAAACTTGAAGCAACACATCATTACTTCTTATCTAATGATTTCCAAAACAATTCTATTTGTGTTTGGGATTTGGAGACTGGTTTGCTATTGAAGAGATTTAGAGGAACTGACAAGGTTCACTCTGTATCTGGATCATCCACACACCTGAATGGAACTGTATTAGATATGAGAATTTGTACTATTAATGAGTATGGACCTGTACTCTTTGTAATTACACCAAAGAATGTAGAAATTTATGAACTCAACACTTTAAGATTATTGAAATTATATAGACCTTTCTATGAGCCAAAGAAGCATGAAATTGTCACCAAGAAACTCATTGATGCTGCCATTGAATCCTTTGATAAGGATGACATTGAAGTAGAGCAGGAGGAAGAAGAGGCTGATGATAATTTTGATGATGATACTGGTATGAATCAACCATCAAAAACTTTGGTTTGTTTTGAATTGTTAGATGGAAATACATTTGCCTTTGTCAGTGGTGATATGAAACTCTATGTGTACAATTTGAGTAATGGTATTTGTGTCAAGAAAATGGACATGAAGCATACTAAGATGCTTGACATTGATAATTACAATAGGCCAACTTCCATTGATTCCTTCAAGAAGAAGTATAACAAATTCAAAGAGTCTGACGTGCTCATCACGCAAATAGCCAAGACCAATTTGGAGGGTCAAATTGCTTTGGTATTGAGCTTGAGACCATCAGGTTATAATGGGTATGATCCACTCAAATCCTACATCAAGTACTTTGATTATAGATTTGGTTGTGAGAATCCTGTGAGGTCATGTCAAGTCGGAAATTATGACTATTACTCTTCTGGTAAAATCTTCTTTGATGACGATAAGATTATTCAATGCACTCAGAGTCATATTCAATTATTGGGACGTTGGGATGGTACTTTGAAACAAGAATTGTTGCCAACTCTCAATGTTGGATATTATACGATTGCCAACTTTATTGCAGATGATCGTTTCCTAATTATGGGTACATCCTTTGGTGGTATTGTTGTGAATGATTATGGAGGAAATTTATTGTATTGGAGTGATTTGAAGGGTAGAAAACTTGTGGATGATGAACCAAAAGAGGAGGATAAAATGGATGATTCTCAAGATTAAATGATTTTTTAACAAGTTGTTTTTACTCTTATGGTTGGATTAATTTTAGAAAATTATTGAGGAAGGAGCATACTTTTGGTATTACATTTTGAGTTTTTTTATTTGTTTCTTTAACCATGGTCCTAATGGTTCTCTAGTGAATGCAAAACCATGAGTCACTAAAAATGTTTGATATCCCTCTTCATAGGCCCATTTGACACTCTTTACAATTTCGACTTTATCATATAGGTAGAAGTGATAAGCTGGTTTTCCATACGAAATGAATCCTCCTCCCATAATATCATTAATAATGGCTGCCTTCTTGTTATCCATCAAGACCACCAAACAACCTTCAGTATGACCTTTCATATTCTTCAAAGTGGCCTTGACTCCAAACTCCTCCAAGCTTTCTCCTCCCCAAAAGGTCAAATCAGGTTCGAATGGAATGATGATCTTTCTGTCACCTCTAATTTTCAATATCTTTGCAGAGATTCCTGCTGGAACACTTGGAGCTCCTTCTCCCTTCCTCAACAAGTCAGCCTCATATTCTGGGCAAGCAATTGGCACATGGGGGTAATGCTTTTTGAAATACCAAGCTCCACCTGCATGATCAAAGTGAGCATGTGTAATGAGAATTAAGGAGAGATCATTTGGTGTGATTCCTGCTACTTTATCCAATTGTTTTATCAATTCCAATTCGTCACCATGTGTAGCAGTGTCAATAAGAATGTACTTTGCCTTCTTGTTGATATTGAGATGAGCATATTTGTTCGATTCTTGTTGTAAATTGTTGCATTCTTCCCAATTACACTTGACTAGAAAGACATTACTCTTTGGAAAAATGTCAATGGCAATAACTTCATTATCAAGAATGCTGAATACTCTATCCTTTTCATTCATTCTTTGAATATCCTTATCGGATACTTTTCTAATATTATTGCTATTTGAGTTTGTTGATGAAGACTTGCTTTGAACTGATATCATGATGAATACTGTTGTTCTTTTGATGCTGTGGAAGACAATTTTTTCTTGTAGGTATTTTTCAATAACATCTCTGTTTGGAAGGTATTTATTTCAAAAAGTTTGCCCTGAGTCCGCTTGTTCGAGTAGTATTAACTCTGTGGTTAGTGCAGCATTATTTTGTTCCATTATATAAAAATGGAATTTTGAATATATTAGGTATCACAAGTCCTCCCGTGATATTTATAAAGGTAATAATAATCGAGATCCTACAACCAATTCCAACCGCAAGGTTTATAGCCACGATGTTCAACAATTATTCTGGTCTGCCATTTGATGGAAACAACACTGATGGCTTCCTTAATTATTTCTTCTATCACCAACAATGATTTGAGGTTAATTGTTGTTGGCTAGAGTTAAATCCATATCCAACAATTTACCCATACTCCCTGTCACTCTAGCCACACACCAACAACTACAACATGATTGGCCACACACAGAAGTTAAGAAAGACTACAACCATGTTAATTTGGTCTTCCCAACCCTGAATAACTAGTTAAAGATCTTTCGCGAGATTAAGATGCTGATAAACGCAATCTCCCTGTTATACAGTGAATATTGGTAAAAAATGACGAACATGGTTACACCCATGCATCACTCGATGGATCAATTTGCGTTTGATGAAGATCCCTCGCTTAATGATTCGCAGCGGAAGAAGAGAAAGATATCGGCAAGAAAGGTGCTTAGTTTGCGGAATATTATCATTACACTGATAGCTTTATTTATGGTGATTATTGCGTTTGTAGTGTGGATTATAGGATTCACAGCTAGTAATTCATCAACTCGTTTGTTGAGTGAGAGGCTGAAGGAGAGTTCTTCCGAGAGAGTAGTAGTAATGATTGAGAGTATGTTCTATCAGGCGCAGGATTTGGCTCTCACATTCAAGAATTTCTATGATCAACAATCCGATTACATGTCCAACTTTTTTGTAAATAGGACAATATATGAAAGAGCAGTCAAATCCATGTTGTTTTCCTCACTCATAACTAGGCAATCTGCAATGAATTCTGTTAATTTTGTTTTTAACACTGGTCATATTGTTGGATGGGAGTGCTATAACTTGGGTTGCAATTATATAATTTCGAGAGAGAGCGATTTAACCATGATGGCTTACAATTACGATTTTAAGGCAGGTAAGCTCAAAGATACTACAGTATATCAAGTACCTGGATTCAATGCTGCCACTATTATTCCAACATACAAGGTGGTTACAGATCCAATTTACAAAAATAGTACGGTGAGAGGAACTGGAATGTTTTTCCCAATTAGTAGACATGTTGTTTTCGTGGATACCTACGTTACATCGATTGCACTTCCGTACTATGATACGGATGAAAAGTTGGTAGGTGCTGCCAACGTTGTATTTTATACTGACACACTGAATAGTAAGGTCAGAGAAGCTAATCCTTCACAAGAGGGTTACATTATAGTTATCGAGGATAGTGGTGTGATTGTTGCTCACTCATTTGCTAATCAGACAGCCATTATGGAAAAACCATGTTATTTAGAAGGAAATGCAGCAGTGAAATCATTATGTTCCTATTTTTTTCCACCAAATGTAACTACCATTAGTTCTAGATTCCCTAGTAGTACTCAAAAATTTTCTTTGGATGGTTTGTCAATTCAAAGAACTGAAACATCGTTCCCTGGTGTAAAGTGGCATATTTTCATTGCCATTCCAGATAAGGAAATATTAGGTGATATTGTAGTGCAGTCGTATAATACCATTTGGATCTCTGCACTTGTATTGGTACTTGCAATTATAGTCTCTGTTCTGACAACCTTCTCACTGATGAGAACTCTTTCACAATTGGCCAGGTGTTTCGATGCTATTCGTAACTTGGATTTGGATGCATCCACCATTGTTAAAGCCACTTCAGGAAGAACCTATGTTTATGAATTGGGAGAATTACAAAACAATTTCAAGAGTATGATTGTTACCCTTAAATCTATTAGAAAGTTTGTTCCAGTCCAAATCATTAAAAAGATTCTCATCACTGGCAAGGAAGCATCACTGGGTATTCAAGATGCTGATGCAACTATCTTTTTCCTTGATATTGCTGGATTTACCACTCTTTCAGAAAAGATGGAACCAAAGGCTTTGGTAGATATGATTTGTTCTGTATTTGAAACTTGTTCTCAGGCAATTTCAAGACGTGATGGTGTTATTGACAAGTTTATTGGTGATGCAGGTATGTACATATTAATTCATGTATTTATTTATAATTATATTAGTTATGGCATTGTGGAATGTTCCAACTAAAACTCCAGATCACGAATATCATGCCATTCAAGCAGCCATTGAAATTCAAACAGAAATGGAAAAGAAGAATATACCAATTCGTATAGGAATCCATAGTGGTCGTGTAAAAGCTGGTAATATTGGAAGTGTTGATAGATTTAGCTTTAGTGTCGTTGGAGATGGGGCCAATTTAGCCAGTAGATTAGAAGGTGCCAACAAGGCTTACTCTTCAAAGATTATTTGTAGTAGTAGTACAATGGAGGTTGCTCTCATTAGTGAGGAACGATTAGTTCTTCATGATCCAAATATAAATCGACTCATGTATAGAAGATTAGATAAATTGAAAGTGAAAGGTAAAGAACAACCAGTATTGACCTACCAAGTCTTTCTCTCAAGCCATCCAAAACATACCAATGATTTAGACGCAAGAGATGTTAAACTCTACGAAAAGGCTTTTGATTTGTTGATGAAAAATCAATATAAGGAAGCTCTTGCAATATTTTATACTCTCATAGATAAGGCTCCTAAAGATGTTGTTTTGGAAAAGAAGATTGAGTTGTGCAAATCTTTAGTTGAGAATGGTGGTTTTTATGATGATGGAAAGAAGTTTGATGGCTCTATTGAATTTACTGAGAAGTAAAAGTTGTCAGATGCAGTTCGATTCCGCAAGTTGAAATTATAAAAACCATCAATAGGGATTGTTCAATATCATGGAGAGAGTTTTTATATCTTTAATAAAAGTTTTTCTCTTGTTTCACACAACTAAGATTTTCCTTGAACCCAAATAAGTACATTAACAACAATTATCCAATCAATTTCAATCAAAATGATTATCAAAATACCCACCTCAAATAGCTAATTCACGCATTTCCCAACAAATTCAAACATTGAAAAAATATAAACACAAAGATGACATCATTCTCAACAGAATCCATCTTAATGAGTGGAATGTCAACAAATGGCACCAAGATGCATCCAATGCACATGTATTTCTCAATGGAATCATTTCAACCTTACTACAAATACATTCTTTTCCAAAATTGGAATGCTGATACCGATTGGAAGTATGCTTTATCATTTTTAGGAGTGTTTTTATTGGCATTCTTCAATCAGTCGATATATTTCTCACTTCACTTTCAAGTTGATGAGAAGAGGAGAAGAATTCTTCACTATCTAGTTTCATATATTGTAAAACCGATTGGTTTCTTTGTGGAAATGAGCATTGGATATTTACTCATGTTGGTTTCAATGACGTATAACTTTGGATTGTTCATGGCAATAATTGTTGGTAACTTTATTGGATATATCATCTTCCAAATGTTGATTTCTGAATATTTGGAACGTAAACAAGCAAGAACCAGTGAAGAAGAAGTGGAAAGGCAATCGCTTACCAACCTTAAGGTCGGAGAAGAATCGGAACCAAAGAAGCCTTGTTGTAAGAAACAAAACGTAATAAATTAGTTAGAAACGGTATGATGAGAATGATGTCTGAAATCTGGATTCATTACAACAAATCCTATTCCTTTAGTATCAGAATCTCAATGAAAATTTTATTTCTTGATTTCTTTTACTTCTTTATCTACCAATTTGATAGCTAGTTTAGCTCTTGCATGTATGATATCATCAAAAGTAAATCCACTTATCTTTTGACACTTTTCCAAAAGACTCTTTGTTTCATGTAAATATTTCAGTTTTTCCTCCTGTGAATTTTCAACTCCAGCAACAACCTTATTAAAATAGGTGAACTCTGCCAATTCATAATATGAAAATGCTGACCAAATCTTTTCAATTTTGATCTTTTCAAATGAAGTGGTTTTGTGAAATTCTTGTAAACTTTCCTCAGCCTTGTTCAAAACTTGTAAAAAGTGTGCGTTAACGAAATGAATTCCAGAGCAAATATCTGGATAAACCTTTGATTTCTCATCCACAACCTTTACATCCAACACAAATTGTTTGAAAAATTCATACAACGGTGTAATTAATTCCTCACTCATGTGTAACAAGTCTCTATTCCAATAGATATTCTGGAATAAAGAGAGAATTATAAATAGGTGTCTATCTTGCTCATTCTTGATATGTTTGAGAGTTTCTACCTTCTCGTGTGGGAATTTGTTTTGCTTGGAGACCTTCTTTGCCAGTGAATCAATGAGTTGATTTGCAGCTTGTTTATCACCCTTTTTGAGTTTACAAGCGGCCAAAAGAATGATACTATTACCTGTGGCATCAAACTTTCCCTTCTCATGATTTGCCACTTGAGTTGACAACTCTTCAGCTTGTTCCAAATTGCCAGCATAAAATTGAGCTAGTCCCAAAACATAAATCATACTGATTGGTGTTTCTCCTGATGCTTGTGTCAAAACTTCAATGGATTGTGAAATGTTTTCTATTGCCTTATTCACCTGTCCATTTTTCACATTGTGATAAGCAATTACAAATTTGAAAAATCCACTTTTTGGATAGAGATTGCCAACTTTTTGTAAAATTGGTTCTGCCAAATCCAAATTAATTTTAGGTTTTTGGAATGGAGTAGGAATGAATAGGTATTTCAAACAGAGCATAAAGGTTGCCTTTCCCAAGATTCTTCCACCATATTGCTGAGCTTTCTTCATCAATTCAAATCCCAAATCTCTATCAATATTGAATCCAATATGACTCAAAATGGCAAGTAGATCAGGAGGTAACACTGAAACCAATCCAACTCCAAAATACGTTGGATAAATCACATCACTATGAATGAAATTATTTGAAGTTTTTGGTTCATTCTTAAATTGTTCAATTTTGTGATAAATTTCCTTATATTTCATAAAACAACTTCTAAAATTGTAAAACCCTCTAATATATGATCCATCCATAAATTGCAATAAACTTCTCAATAAATGTGATTCAGCATCCACCAATTTCAAATCCAATTCATAATTAAACATTTGTTGATCTCTTGTCAATTCCTCTAATTTACAATAATTTTCACTTGTCTTTTCAGCAGAATCAAATCTTTCCAAATCTTCCACAGTAATCTCGGCATTCCACTTTGAAATCTCATCAATCATCTTACTAATATCCTCAGATCGTTTATAACGTTGCAAAGTTGACTCCAATCCACCCAATTTATCAAAGGCAAATTTTCTCATATTTTCATCACCACATGCAGCTGACACGAAAGCAGCTGAATTTAATATTTTACAAAATATTTAATTGATGAATTATTAAATAATAATATATTATCAATACATAGTGTAATGATGAACAACAACTTACGAATTGTGGCCAATTCCAATGCCATCCTCGGAATGTGTGATTTATCAGCCATATACTCCTTGGCTTGCTCTAATTCAGTATTCCAGACGAGGTAGTTTGCCTTGGTGATGCAGGCGTACATTTTTACTTGTTTTTTTTATTGTTTGTTGGATTGCATGATTTTGTGCGCTTGGAGTGGGTGTTTGTTTTTGAGGAGTAATAAAAAAACTCCGCGAACGGACTATGGTATTCTATTACTGTTATCTTTGGGACATTTATGCAATCTCACGAGCCATAGTACCAATTGGTATGAAGAAATCATTGAAAATGGTGGAAGCTAAGCTACGCGTTGTGGGATAGAGATCGATTTATTAAGAAGAACAAAAATTAGGTAATAAGGATTAATTTCCATCACATTTGACGTCATTTACTTGTTGGATTTTGTAAACTCTAAAAGTGTTATTCACAAAATCCAACAACTGCTATTGAAGCCATGCAATCATGTAAAAAAAAATGTCATTTGTGAGTTGCATTGGTGGCTTTCAATTTTTCAACATGTTTTCCAACTTGCTCTCAAAATTAACAACCCCAAACAAGAGAAAGATTCAAATTTGCATGTTGGGAATTTGGTCTTGCGGAAAAACAACACTACTATACAAAATGGTGGGTCTTGATGGAGGTGGTCAAACCATTCCAACTATCGGATTTAATGTTGAATCAGTAGATTGTGAATCTCATACTCTTGAATTTGTATGTGCATTGAATGTTTCATGATCATTAATTATATATTTTAATTAATAATTATTGTGCTGCAAATCATATGGATGAATATATATTGTATATTTTGATAATTACGTAGTGGGATATTGGAGGAGGATGTGCAATTCCACCATTGTGGAAACACTACATCACTCCATCAGAAAATTTAAATACAAATTGTATCATTTTCATGATTGACAGCCAGAATACAGATAGACAGTACCTACAGGAATCTTTTAGGAATTTGAAAGATAATGTTTTACAGGTGGCTAATGTCAAGTTACTGATCTTGTTGAGCAAGTATGATTTTGATTCACATGATGGAACTGTGAATCAGTGGGAAATTACAGATATTTTGAATGAGTGCAAGTTGGTTGATCCTTCTTATGAGTGGGTGATCAAGAAGTGTAATGCAAGGAATGGGAAGGGAGTCGAGGAAATTCTTGATTGGATTGTGGAGAATTGTTAAAATACATGAATATTGGACAGTGTTGGAACTCTCAGAAATTATGATGTGATTAGGATGTATTGCACCAATTTTATTTTAACCTTAAAAAAATGTCTATAAGCTCATCGTCAAGAATCACAGATTACTTCATCAATCCTCCTAAGGAAACACCTCCTAAGGCAGAGGAGAGCGTAATAAAGTACCCGTCTCTCGGTTGTGCTGGAGTGCTTAGTTCTGCTACAGTAGGAAGTGTAGCAACACAATTGTCACAACCTATGTTCCTTAACAATTTCGGAATTAATGTTGATGCAGCACTAACTGATGATAAAGGAGAAAGAAACGAAGCAGAAAGAAATTTAGAGAAGGTGTTTTCACAGGACATTATTGATGACGCTTTGTTTAAAATAACACAAAGAAAATCTAATATTAAGGTTGGAGAAAACCACTCATGTGCTCTTGTTAATTGTAATTTGTTTTTGTCTATTAGATTTACAGATATGAAAGTGGATATGAACGGAAAAGAGTTAATACTTAAAGCTTCAGATGACGTTACTCACCACTCCAAATTCTCTAATCAAAGAGAAGAAGAAAAAGCCTCTTTTGATCTAACAGACGACGAGAAATCCTTCAATCTTTTATTGTATTACATGCAAAGTGTGTTGAGGGACACGTTGAAACCAGATTATTACGTTATGCTTAATCAATGTAAATTTGTTACGGACCTTTTTGGCAAAAACATTGTTGAGATGTTCAGAGCAGAATCCAAAGAAATGAGGGAGGATTTTTTTGCAGATTTGTAAGTAGCTAATTAACTGGTTCAATGTTAATATTTCATAGTTTGAAAGTTATTATGCTGTCTCAAAGGCAATGCTTAGTGTTGATGGAGCAACTTGAAAAGAAAACAGGTTATATTTATCCCATTAAGGCTCCAAGTATGGGGAATGCTGGCGATTTTTACAGACTTTCAATGACAACAGTTCTCCCTTCGGAATTATTTTACTTTCTATTATTCGAATTGCAAATTACAAATCCAACTTTCACACAATTCAAATTGGCATCAATCATCCAACAGTTAAAAAACAAAAAGACCGATGTAAAGGCAGTCATAGATAACAAAAAGAGCGTTTCTGATGAAAATATACGTCTCATGGACAATCGTTACAAAAGTCTTGAACAAAAACTAACAATACTAGAAAGCTTTTACCCAGAATTCTTAAGAGATCAAAATATTGTTATAGATAACACTGCATGCTGTTCAGCCATCGATAAACTCCAAGCAGGAATTGCTATTAAAGGAAGCATAATTTCTAATGAAAAAGATGTTAGAAGTCTTTTTTTGGATTGTCAAATTATTTCTAAATATGTAATTGAACTCACTAAGAGAGTGTTAAGAGAATTAGGAGTTGATATGAGTCTTATTATCACTAACACCGGAAAGGAGTTGAGTGATATAGACATTGACAACCATTTTGATTGTCTAAATATTAGATTCAAAAGAATGGTAAGTATCAAAACGACTTGAAGTTAAATCATATTGTAGCCAACAAACAGAAATAACAGATCTCGTGTCTTCATTGTTGAGAAATATTTGAATGATAAATGGTCCAAAACTCATATAATCAAACACTATGATGACAAAGATTACTTTGACAACGAAACTTATAGCAACCCTTTAGTTCTTAATAAGCATCACCGTGACCAAGTCCCTAACCTTTTTGTAGCAATTATGCCATTTATTGTTCATGATCATTCATATTGTACCCAAGAAAACATGCTTAAGATACTGTACTCTGCATCTCTATGTCTCTCAAAAACTCACAAGATGAAACATGTTCACGGAGACATAAAACCTGATCATATTT